CATCCCTGCTCTTTGGGATTTAATGATCCAGTTGGAGAGAAATTGTATCCGGGGCGTGCTGGGGACACAGGCTCCCTTTGGGTATTGTGGGAATCCATTATGCTAATGATCTGTGTTTCCTAGACCCCGGTACTAATAAGATAGTATTGTGTTGGTCTTTTCAAATCCGCACACAGACCTACCCAGGAAATCCTCTTGCCAGTGCGAGGCCGGGCTGTTCACCTTGATAACGCCTTCGGTGGCTGCATTTCCAGGTTATTTGTGTGGGGCTTTGTTGAAAGGCTGCTCCCTTTGCCCGCGTCCCATCTGCCCCGTCCTCCTGGTGTACAACCCCTTGGCAGCGCCCGCTTCTCTGGGCCCTGGGGACCCTGGCTCCGTTTGCCGGAGTGTAGATAAAGATGCGCGGAGTCAGTCTGTGAAAAGGAAGGTGAGGAGACTGGGGCAGATGCTGTCTTTGTCTGGGACGAGGGCCCTCCTGCCACAGCCCTCAGCACGCTCTTCGTGGTGATGCAGGTGAGAATTTCGGCAGCGCAGGTGGGCCCAGAGCCAAGGCTGCTGTTCTCGTCGCATATTTGTTCTGGGAGCCCATGGGCTGTGGTCTGGCGCTTCCCCACTGCCTGCCCTCTCCTTGCTTCCTTCATCCCCAGCTCTGTTCCTCTGTCAGATGGTCCCCTTGTTAAGGCCAATCTCATTCATGCATTTTTCTCTCTCCTCCTGCAGGGGAGCTGCTGAGTCAGCCCAGACCGGAAGGAGTGGCCGAGATTATTTGCCCCAAGAACGGCAGTGAGCGAGTGAATGTTGCCTTGGTTTACCCACCTACACCGACTGTGATCAGCCCCTGTTCCAAGTGAGTTCTGAACGGGGTAGACCCTGCCCCTCACTCCTGATCCTGCCTCAGTAGTTGTGATGACAAAAAGCTAAGTTCAAGTATATCTCAACGGACATCATAAAGTGTCTCCCCCAACCCCCAGAACAGACCTAGTTATCTAGGTGACATCAACACTGTGGCTTATGTAACAAACTAGGAGCTTTTATTTTTTTCTTATTTGTGATTTTTTTTAACCTTTGCTGAAGAAAAGAAAAAGTCAGAGCATTTTTAACAACTTTATTGAGATATCATTTATATGCCATACAATTCACTCATCAAACATGTATAATTCGTTTTTGCAGCTAAATGCAATAAAAAAGCATTGTTTTCATGGGTAGTCTTAATTCTGTCATTGCAGAAGCAATTGGGCCCTCACCTTAGGGAACAGTGAGTGCCCATCTATAATAGTAAAAGCATAATATGCTAATTAGACTAGACATCCTTCCAGACGAAGCTGGGGCTGTGAGGGAAGCCCGGGTCCCAGGTGCCTGCCAGTGGCCGGAGGGAAGCCTGGGTCCCGGGTGTCGGAGGGAAGCCGGTGTCAGCAGCCAGGGGAAGGAAGGCGTATTCTCGCACGAATTCCGTGCATCAGGCCTCTAGTTAAATAAGAAAAGCTTGCGGAAAAGCAGTAGTAAGTTACTTTTCCTCTGGGCCTTTGGTTCTGTATCAGTCCTTGGTAGTCAGAGGCTGTGTTGTCTGCTCTTATCTTCCCCAAAAGGGACTTAAAGACGGAGAATGCACCTGTGTGAATTAACTTCTTTTTTTTAAATCCTCACTCAATATTTTTCCATTGATTTTTAGAGAGAGTGGGAAAGAGAGGAAAACATCAATTGGTTGCCTCTTGACCAGGGTTTGGGCCAGGGAGGAGCCTGCAACCAAACTGAAGTACATGCCCTTGACCGGAGTCGAACCTGGGACCCTTTGGTCCGCAGGCCGACACTCTATCCACTGAGCCAAACTGGCTAGGGCTGAATTAACTTTTGGATACAATGCTACTTAGTATTATAGATAAAACTCATCCTTTTTTCTTTTTCTTTCTTTTTTTTTGGTAGTATTAACTAAACTGTGAAACCACTTTTCAACTGAGATGAAATGCATTCTTACCACAAAACTTGTCTTTTTGGAGCAGATCTGGTATCTTGGGTGCTGTCACTTCAGCAAAGTATTCATGCAGGAAACCTTTATTTTTCCTCCTAGTTGACCACATAGAATTCTTTTTCATATATAAGCTTTTTACAGGGAGGTTGGACAGTTCACATGTGAGGATGGTGACCCGTCATCTCCTCTGGAGAAGCTTGCTACCAGGCTGGGTTGGGGAGAGTTGTGTCCCTGGGTGTCGGCTCTCCTGCCTTTGGGGGGCTCTCTGCAGAGGGAGGGGCCTTCAGTGTCACGCTTACTCGGCTCATTAGCAGAACATCTCCAATCCCTCTTTCCTGGGAAATAGGAACACTCTCAGAAACGCATATCTAATGTCATTATATTCAGAATGCTGTGTTAGCTAACATGAATAGAGACAGCGTGATGCCTCGCCACTATGCCCTTAAGACATTGTCAGATCTTGAAGTGCTTCTTAAATATTAAGTTGAATTACACAGTATCTTCATATTAACCAGAAAATCCCCAGTCCTGCACCTATCAGAGCACAGAAATTTTCTGGTCTTTGAATGGGTCTCTTTCTTTCAGATACACTGGGGTAAGGACACGGGGACAGTACCGACAGCAGGTGTGGGAGGGGGAGAAACAGTTGTTCAGTACACTGTGCATTGGCGTAGACTTTCCTAAGCCAGCAGAGGCATTAGCCTATTGCTTTGCCCTAGCCACGTGGCATTTAATGGGCAGGAGAGAGCTAGGGCTCACATATCCATTTGCAGGAGAAACCGCCGTGGCCCGGAGCCAGCTTCATCGGTGTTTTCCCAGGGGCTTCTTGTTGTCCTGCCACAGAAAGACACTTACACCAACCTGGAAAAATGCTATCAGCCCCGTCTCTCCCGCAGTTTATTATACCCAAATGAACAGGTCTTTAAAGTCCCAGTAACCAGAGCCGCCTCGCCTCAGACATCTAGATGCTGGAGGGAATGCCTTTCGGACTGAACTGCTGTTGGCCTGGCTCTGTGAATGGTTTTATTTTGAAATGGATTTTTTTTTGAAGGCCTCATACAGTGGATGGCAGGTTTGGGGTGCAGGTCTCTATTCTAAATGAAGGAAATCTGTGAAAACAAACACATCCAGGCCAGGCCCAGTGGGAGGTCTAACTTACAAGTAGATGACAATATATTGGAAGCAGGAGATTTAGGAGACAATGAGGAAAGCTGTTACAGGAGGTGGGCATTACATCAGCACAGCTGTGGGCTGAGCCTGAGAGTTAGACTTGGGGCCCAAATGGGCAGGAGAAACGCTCTTGCACCGGCTTTGCAACTCCAGCCAAGTTAACTTAAGCAGGTCTCTGTAGAGTGATCTTGGACTTCTGTCATCCCCTAAAATGCAGGTGGATGGCTCTGAGGGAGGGCCCCCTGGCCAGGGTGCCTCACTGAGCAAAATTGAGCCATGCTGCTTGGATGAGCACACCCATTCCGCCCCAATTCACTTTTAGAGCTGAACATAATTTATTGTTCAAATCAGGGAAGGATTGAGAGTGGAATTATTACACCAGGATGCCAGGCATTAACCAGAGCTGCCCAGGCAGACCAGAGTAATGACCCTGCTCTCTGGGTCACAGATCTAGACCTTAACGTGGTTTTTAAACAGACATTCCAAGCTCTTCTTTGACCATGTGTACACGGTGGTGCTCAGTGAGCTTTATAAGAAAATCCACTGAGGACTGTGATTTGATCGGATATTCCTTATGAATTCTAAGCTTTTCCATTGCTCATTTACAAATGTTCTCGGTGTTTTCTTCCCGAGTCGGGAGAGACAGAGAACAAAGAGTAGGGAGTGATTTATTCTCCTGGCTTGTCTCCGTGGTTGGTGGCTGAGGTCTGGACAGACATTGCCCCGGCGAGAGGTTACCTGTCCTGGAGGAAATGAAGTGCCTCTGCTCCTGCACCTCGGCCTCCCGGGGGACGCCTCCTGGGGGACACGGAGGGGCTGACTATCAGAGAGAGATACAAGCCATTTCCATACTTTGCCCTTTGGGGCTGATTTTCAAAGATTTGCATTTGAGTTGAGATGAAAATTTATCCAGTAGCAAGTTTGCTCTAAAAAATTCTGACCTTCTTAAGGGTACATTTCTTAAAGCTCTATTGAGATAGACTTTCATACATAAAACTGGCCTATTCAGAGATGATGAAGATATTTGCAGCTGACAACATAGTTTAATTTTAGAACATTTTCAACACTCCAAAAGAGAAACTTCCGGCCCATTTGTGATCACTTGTGTTTGGTATAACACCTAGCTCCCTGCAGTCAGTACACATTTGTAGTAGCATGTTCAGGAATGGCTTTGCTGCCTGTTGTGATGGCATTAAACAGATTTGTAGTTTTAATGAAATTCTTATAAACACCTGTTATCCCTGGTCCCATTCAGTCTAAAGGCAGTGAGTTGACTTGCACCCCCGACTCCTCCCCCACCCCCGCTGCCAGTTTACTGGACAAAGAGGGGAATTAGAGCTGCTTGGAGGGAAGTTGGGTTTTTTTTTGGTCTTTTTTTTAAGTATAGGTAGCGATTTCGAACATAAACTTTATTTTTTAGAGCCATTTAGGTTCATAATAAAATTGAGCAGAAGGTACAGAGAGATCCCATATACTCCGGGCCCCACTCCCATTGCACTGACATGTAATCACCAAGTCCACAGTTTATATTGGAGTTCACCCTGTGCATCCTGTGGGTTTGGACAAGTGTATGATGACATATATCATACATGTTACAGTGTCGTACACAAGATTTTTTCGCCCTAAAACTTCTCTGTGCCCCGCCCCCTTAACCGCTGGCAGAAACTGGTCTTTGTCTTTTCAGCTTTATTGAGGTGTGATTGACACATAAAGTTGTAAGATATTTAAAGTATGCATCCTGGTGATTTCACGTGTGCACACTGTGAACGGGGGGCCAGCACCTAGTGAAGGAACACACCCACCCCCTCATATGTATACCCTTCAGGGCTCCTGAACGGCAGCCCAGCCCACCCCCAGGCTTTAAAGGGATGCTGAGGAGTCATAAGGGACAAAAATACACTTTCAGTCAGAAAAGAAAGGAGAAGGTAGATGGATAATGGTTACATTTTATTGAAAAAGTGTTTATTTGTGAATTCCCGTCTCCATCCTGTTGCTATGCATGTTGAGCCTTTTAAAATTCCAATTCTGAAGGGAAGGTGCGAACTTTGGGCAAAAAGCAGCCTATGTATTTCATTTTTAGGTTCCCTGTAGAATGTTTCTCTTTCTTATTTCCAAAGACGTGTAGGACAACACCCCCTGCTCCCCAGGCAGATACCCCAGTGTATCTTCTGATTTTCCTGTAAAAGGTAGAATTCAACAGGTGAGCACATGAAAATGCTTTACCTTCCGTGCTGGAGTGCAGCCCGTGTTCTTCCCTGTGGTTTGTTAATGGACTGATCCGTGAATGTACAGGAAATGGGAATCTATCATTTTTATTTCCCGACAGCTGCCATCTCTCTTGTGTTGGTACATGCCTGTCTGGGCTCCGTCATTTGTGGGGTGGTAGCACTGAGAAAGGACCTTCGGTTCTGATTTTGGCAGGTCGTGTGTCACAGAGCGAGAAAAAAATGGGCCGGTTTGAAAATTGTTGGGCCGAGCTTCCTCCTTTTCCAATAAGTACTACTAATAATAGGAGGCAAGGTTGAGGCACCACATTTCAAAACTGCCTTTTAAACGTGGGCTCTTGTGTGTCTATACTGGAGCGTTCCGTTCAAGCAAGATCCCAGTAAAATTCCAGTTATGCACTGTTGTAAGTATTCTCAAAAATATAGTGATTCCTTTGCATAGGAATGTTGGCAGTTATATTGTTACGACAAGGATATTCAAGACCC